ACACACACACACACACACAAACATACACACCCTGATCCGCAAGCAACACCCAGCAGGGCAGAAGCCAGGCTGGCCAATCTCCAGAGTGATCTTCCGGAATCCAGAAGGATATGCACCTTCACCCCTGATTTTCTTGCGGGTTTGGTGCAGTCCTGCAGTTACACTGATTTAGTCCAGGTCATGCATGGATACGGAGGTGAGGGAACCAACAGGACCTAGAATCCCTGGTTCTTTGTGCTCAGCATTGAGGTGACCTCACCACAGAGGGAGTACAGACAAGGCTGAGACTCCCTCCAAGACTGAGTTCAAACACCCAGGCAGGAACCATGGTAAGCATAAGGGTGAGGTGGGCTTGGGAGTTAAATTCTAGATGGACGCACAGGTCCTCAGCATATCCTCCGGACCCACCCCAGACCAGACAGCCTCCCCTCCCCCTACCTTCGCCCTTCTTTTGACCCCGCCCCCCTTGGAGCCAACAGTGATTGGCTGCCGTGTAGGCAGTGCCGGCCAACCAGCCCCCGCAGCGCCAAGAAAAGTTAATTTGGAGTTCTGGTCTCTTCCCAGGATGCATTTGGGCGGCCGCCCGTAATGAGATGCATAATTGCGGAGGCCTGCCAACAAAAGCAGGCTGGATTTAATTGAGTCAACGCATGGCCATTAATAATCTGACGGCAGTCCTCCCCCACCCTCACCCCACCCCCACCCGCCATCATCCAATGCTCTGCAGCCCCCACTGGGCTCACTGGGCTCCCGTCCCAGGCTGGTCTCCTGTTCAGGGGGAAGCAGGTCTGACCATTCCCCAGCCTGCTCCAGTGCTAGAGAGGCTGAAGGGAGAACCCACTCTCCCCTAAGCTATCGTATCATCATCCTGACCACCTCTCCTGTATACCTTGGTTGGCACCTGTCTCCCATCAATCCCTTTCCCCAATTCAGTCATTAAACCAATATATCCTGAACTCCTATCATGTACCAGGCACTGGGAACACAGCAGCTACTGCAGACAAAAATCAACCTCTTGGAGCTTAGAGTCATCATTCACTTGTCTTCTCACACCCTTTCCATGAGCCTGACCCTCATACCTGTGCCCACACCCCCACACCCACGCTTGACTCTAGCCCTCACACACCTTCCCCACTTGCCTGCCCCCTAAACTTGTCCTCATGCCCTTTCCCCATACCTTTCCCTTTTATGTCTTATTCAGACACCTATCTACACAATACAGCCTTTCCCATAGTCCAGTCCTCAGCATCTATTCCCCCATGGTGGTGGTGGTTTAGTCACCAAGTCATGTCCAACTCTTGAAACCCCATGGACTGTAGCCTGCCAGGCTCCCCTATCCATGGGATTCTCCAGGCAAGAATACTGGAGTGGGTTGCCATTTCCTTCTCCACTATTCCCCCATACATGTCCCCAAATCTCCCATTTATCTTCATACTCAAGTCCTGTGGAGAACTCTGTCCACACACACCCTTCCCCACACATCTGCTCCTCTCCCCTCACACCAGTAACTCTGGCGTGACTGCTTCACTGGTACCCTCTCCTTGCCACTTATCCCTTCCACACCCTCCCCCCATCCCTCCCTTCCTCCCAGGCCCACAAACCTCAACCAAAACTCTCCAAGTGGTCCCATCTCCTAGAGCTGCTGCTGCGTCAGTAACATGGGGATAGTATTAGTCAATGCCTCGTGGGATTGTTGAAGTGATTATTTCATGAGATAATCCAGGCAGAGGGCACCTGGGAGCACTCTCCAGTGGTGGTTGTTGACTCTTGCAGGGTGAAGATAATCTGATAAACTGCCCCACAGTGAGCTTGGACTGCCCCAGCTCCCAAGTGACCTCTTAGGATAATCTGCTTTTACCAAATTAGCCTGGGGTGGACCTGACCTAATCCCAGTGGCTGAAGCACAAATGGTGACAACCTAGGCAGTGACCAGCTTTTCATACCTCCCCAGGAAGGTGTGCTCCTTTGCATCCTTACCTGTTCCACCCGAACCTGTTTATTCGTGGTTCCCCAGGGGGAATGGAGAGGCCTAGCATCCCCCGAAGTGGACAATGGGGCTTGTGGGAGGAGGGCACAAGGCACTACTCTTCAATCCACTCTCCCCTTTTAGTAAATCTCTGGTAGGGCAGGAGAGGTCAGTCTGAAGGTGTGGGTGGACTTGGGCAGGAGAGATCAGTCTGAGGGTGGGGGTGGACTTTTGTGGGACCCTGGGAGGCAAAGTTCCTTATGAAAGAAGACGAGAATTCTTCCCATTCATTCCTCAGTTTCTCTCTAAGGCCAGAGGAGGCAAAAGAAGGGAAAAGAGCCACTACTTGGGGGAGAGGTGGATCTGGAACACCACTCCCCCCCTTCCGACCCTTCCCCTCCAGCTTCCTTGGTGGGGGGCAGGCGCTACGGTTAGCTGTGAGTGCTTAGCAGAGAAGGATACCCTCCGCATCCCACCCCACGCCCGCCCCCGCGCCCCCCCAGCCTCTCTTCTCAATCCGTCTGCCCTCTGGCTTCCAGGAGGTGGTGTCTGGGCCGCTCTCGGCGGGTGCGACCGGCGGGCGCGCGCGCGCGGGCACGCGACTCCTCAGAGAATCCCCGTCACCGCCGAAATCGCCGAAATTGGCTGCAACTAGTAAAGATGCCAGGAATTTGCACCTTGCTCTGTGACCTAAAGCAAAAATGACATGAACATTGACAAATTTGACAAGGAAATTTGTGCAAAAAACAACTTCTATTTGGCTAGCCAAGCAGCAAATATGCCGGATGATACGCTTTATTAAGCAATCCATTTCTCAGCAATAGCGGCGCCATCTGCAAAGGTTACCGCGCATCAGGCTCGGCACAGAATTTCATCTGCGTCTGCAGTCGGGGCCGCACGCGGACACATTTTTCATGTACATGCGATTCCGGATGCAAATAGAATCCGTGATGAAGGAGGTGACCTTCTGGGCCGAGCCGCGCGCGCTAAAGTCACGCGAGAGCCCGCGGGGAGCGGCCGGGGCAGGAGACAGGGGGCCGGAGGGTGGGGGTGGGGTGTGTGGGGTGGCTGGGGCTGAGGATTGACCACAAAAGGGTATGAAAGGGGTCAGGGAGCAGAGGTCCGTGGGGAAGGAATCACAGATGGTAGCGCTTGGGGTCTGGAAAGGATTTAGGGGAGCCTCGGTCCAATCCTCTCACTTTACAGATGCGGAAACTGAGGCCCAGGACAGGAAGGGGCGTGGCCAAGGTCATACAGCCCGGGAATGGTAGGCCTGCAGCTGGGACCCGGTGCCTTGATTCCCAGTCCGGTGTTGACGCTGAGGGTTCTGAGCATAGTGAGTGAGAGTATGCCTGGGTTCAGCCCGTTTCACCACTGCTAACTGGATAGCCGTGAGCAAATTAAGAAAGTTCTCTGTGCCTCAGTTTCCTGTTCTGTACAATGGAGATATGCTATTTTCCACCCCATAGGTTTGTTATGGAGGACTGAGTTAATATACAAAAGGGTTCGGAACAGCGCCTTTCAAGGAGTAAACTCTATAAAATCATTTGTTGATTAAGTATTGATAAATGTGTGTTTCTATCCTTCCTGGGCTGATGGGGGATGGAAGAGGGAAGCTCCTGTTGAGGCAGAATGGGTGC